AAACAGGTGGGTGAAATCAGTCACCATAGACATAAAAACATGATGCAATATGTTGAGACCGTGTATTCATTGTTTTGAGAGGGTTATATATTTCCTGAGTAAAGTTGAGATGTTAAATAGAGACCGGGTTGTGTTTATGAAAATTAAGTTTCACTCGCGGCCGTCCCGCGTGAGGCCTGGTATTATTAATGTTGTATAATCGAAATGGTTAAAGGCTCCAGCACACTGAAAACCCAAAATAGTATATGTATATGTAGATACATACATTTGTAATATAAATTTTTGAATGTTATCTATCTTTGCATACTATATTATAGTGGTTATTGACTGTTGATATTTGAATGTTTAATGATCTTTCAATGAAGTATATCTGCTGCACTGTAATTCAGTTTAAATGGTTCGCTCAACTATTTAATGAGACAGTATTTAGTATGATACTTTTGCTCAGACAACAGAGACTGTAAAACATGGAGATGTATGTTTTAAGGGTATTGAGTTATTAGAGAAAAGTACTATCTGAGTATGAAAAGTAAGACACTATAAGAGTGATGCAACCTGTTTATTGGTTTATTGTTTGAGTGAGTCACATGTAAGGTGACAAGACATTGTGACATATATATTGGTTTAAAATATGGATATAATCTTTGAATTATTGTAATAAAGCCATTACAGAGCGACTCAGACTGCATTCAACAGCACATCTTTGTCTGTCTCCTTGTTTTATTAAACAGCAATAATTAACTGCAGCAACGCCAGTCGGACGGCGGGCGTGTTACAGATTTTGGGGGCTCGTCCGGGATCTAGCGCCACCTGCTGGTATGCGGATCCAATTCAAATGAACCACAGAAGGGCTGAGTGACGGGTGATCAGCGCGAGGACCACAAAGGGCAGCTCAACGGCGGCAGGAGAACCAAAGCACGGCGGTGAAAGGCTTTCCTGGCTGAGGAGGAGTAGTGCAGTGTGGTACAAGTCAAGTGTGAACCCATCAGCAGCTGGATTGTCGACAAGATGACTTCGAGCGAGAGAAAAGCAACAGTTTGGGAAATCAAGAAAAGACTGCATCAACTCACCCATGATGAACTGATCAGCCTGATGGATTGTCTGGAGCCAACTGCAGCACCAGGAAAGCACAGGTTGGATATAACTGATGAGGAGTGTTGCTTTGAGTATATTGTTGAGTACATGATCAGTGATAGTCTGCTGGAATTAGAAGATGGAGGGTTGTCTCAATTGTTACTGTTAAAAGACAATGTTGATGTGATAATCCAGAAACAGAATGTAAAAACGGTTGTGCATGACACTGTCCCACTTACACCACCACAACAACTTACACCCACCATTGACACGCAGGCACAGCCGATAGAGTATAACCGATTGGTAGACTGTTATGAAGAGCTAGGGCGAAAATTAGCACAGTACAAGGTCGAGGCTAATCCAAGTAAACCAGAATCTCCCAAAAGTAGCGGCAGCTTACCTGTGAATGTAGCTGGTGAGCCCACCAGTGGAAAAAGGGAAAGTATGATCTCCCTCCGTGACCTTCAGCTACTGCCATTTCAGCACAGAGAGTTCAAAGTTCAAGGGGGGCAGATTGGTGACAGTACTTCTGATATAAGCTACACAAGTGTAACCAAGCAAATAGATGAGGGACTTGCAGCTAACCACAGTGAAAATGACATCATCAGAGGGGTCTTGAGAGTCATTAAGCCAGGAAACTTTAAGGACATGTTAGTAAACAAGGAGGGACTAACAATCCTAGAGTTAAAGAGTTTCCTTCAGTCGCATCTGAACGAGAGAAGTAGCTCTGAACTCTTCCAGGAGTTAATGTGTGGTAAACAGAATGACAATGAAACTCCTCAACAATTCCTGTATAGACTGATTGGACTGAAACAGAAACTAATTTTCCTGTCCAAACAAGCTGTCACAGACCTGGAGTATGATGAACAAACAATACAAAATGTGTTTCTGAGGACGATTTATCAGGGCATGGGTGCAAAGTACAATCAATTACGCACTGAATTGAAACCTCTGCTTACGAATCGTCTGGTGACAGATGAGGCACTCCTGCGCCAAGTAACCCAGATAGCAAGTGATGAAAGTGAAAGACAACGTCGGTTGGGACAAGCTACACGGCAGAAAGTGTCGAATGCCCTCAGCGCTCAGTGGGAGTCCAGCCGAGGTAAAGACGCTGATTGTAGTAGACAAAACGACCAAACTGAGACAATTCGCCGGTTAAGTGCACAAATTGAAGCCCTTACCAAGACTGTTGAATCACTTACAAAGGCAAGAACGACAGAAGGTCCGTGCAAAGTCTTTGATTCCCAGCTGCAACGAAGGCAACGTCGACGAATGTGTCCCAGATGTAGTAGCAAGGATGTTAGCTCTTGCAGTCATTGCTTTGTGTGCGGTGAGGAAGGACATCGTGCGGTGGGCTGTCTAAGAAGGGAAAAGGGGTCGGGAAACGACCAGCGGCCACTGATGAGGGGCGAACAGTGACCGAGCGACCACAGCCCCAGCCTAAGGAAAAAGAAGCTTGGAAGGGTAGGACACCTGATTCACCAAATCAAAGACAAAGTTCCTGTGACCGAGTAGCCCAGCTCATTGGAAAGAAAGCCACCCTTAAGTGCCACATTCATGGGTTTGCAGTAACTGCTCTACTGGACACAGGAGCGCAAGTTAGTATAATCGACTGCAACTGGAAGAGTAAATACTTACCAGATCAAGCTCTACGACCTCTGTCAGAAATAGTCGATGGGGGCGACTTCAGTGTCTCAGCTGTTAATGGAGAACCATTGCCATTCGAGGGATGGGTAGAATTGACAGTGAACCTGCCCGGGAATGATGATCCAAGTTTGGCTATTCAAGTGCCTTTCCTCGTGGGGAAGATGCCATTAGAACGGCCATTGTTGGGTTTTAATGTGGTCGAGGAGATAATAAGAGGAAAAAAGAACACAGAGCAGGGTCTATGTGCTTTTGCAGAACTCCTAAAGATGGCCCTGGACATCAAAGGTGAACAAGCCAACGCGATAGTGAGCTTCATACAGAAACAACCCAATGTGAACCTCGGAGCTGTTGTCACAGTCGGCCCTAGAGATGTGGTCGTACCACCCGGTCAGGTGACCCATATTAAGTGTGAAGTTTCAGTTAGCTTGGAATGCTCTGAGCCAGTAGTACTGTTCGAGTCCAGTGAGGAGAGTACATTGTTAACCGAACTAGACGTTGGAGAAGGTCTGATGGAATTAGAGGGGACAGACCGGCGGCCCTATGTTAGGATTCCCCTGGGAAACCCTACTGCTTGTGAAGTCACTATCAGACGGCGTACACCCCTAGGAAGTATTCAGCCAATATCAAGCATTATTGAAACGAAGCAGCAAGACTTGGTCAACGGAAGTGACTTACCAGTGAGCCGTGGAGAAGAAACAGGTCCCCCAGAGCACGAGGACGTCCACAGGACAGGCAGCTTGTGGCATCCACCGGTCGATGTAAGCCATCTCGAAGAAGAACAGCAGAAATTAGTCAAAGAAATGCTTTACCAAGAATCCAACGTGTTTGCTCGCGGAGATGATGATATTGGGTGCATCCCAAGCTTACAGATGACGATTAACCTGAAGGACGATATCCCTGTTCAGCGAGCTTATGCCTCCATCCCTAAGCCCCTATACAAGGAGGTGAAGGAATACGTTCAGGACTTACTAGCTCGTGGTTGGGTGGTCAAGTCAAAGTCTCCATATGCAGCCCCGGTGGTGTGCGTTCGGAAGAAAGATGGCACGCTGAGACTGTGCATAGACTACAGATTGCTAAACCAGAAGACAGTCCCAGACCGTCACCCACTTCCTCGGATTCAGGACCTCATTGACACCCTGGGGGGCTACCGATGGTTTTCAATTCTGGATCAGGGGAAGGCCTACCATCAGGGATTCATGGCGGAGGGATATCAGCACCTTACGGCATTCACAACGCCTTGGGGGCTATATGAGTGGGTGCGCATACCCTTCGGATTGGCTAATGCACCAGCGGCATTCCAGAGGAGTATGGAGGGCATGCTGGACTCGCTGAGAGACGAATTATGTATCCCGTATCTCGACGACATCCTTTGCTATGGTAAAACGTTCAGTGATCATGTTGAGGGGCTAAGGAGAGTTCTCAAAGTACTGCGGCATCATGGAGTAAAGTTGAGGCCGGCAAAATGCGAGCTCTTCAAGAGAGAAGTCAGGTATGTGGGGAGACTAGTTTCGGAGGATGGTGTCCGCATCGACCCAAAAGATCTAGAGGCTGTCCTCTCCCTGAAAGACCAGAAGCCCACTACTGTCGGGGAGTTACGCCGATTGTTGGGGTTCCTCAGTTACTACCGCACCTTCATCCAGGACTTTTCACGAATCGCCAAGCCACTGTACGAACTCCTCCAGTCTCGGGGATCAGTAGTATCTGGGGGGCAGGATAAGTCTGGTAAAACCGAGAAAAGAGGGAACCAGTTACCTTCCCGTGCGAAAGTAGAGTGGTTGAGTGTGCACCAAGGTGTGTTGGAGAGACTCATTGGGGCTCTGACAACCCCCCCTGTACTTGCTTACCCGAACTTTGAACTTCCGTTTGTGCTCCATACAGACGCGTCCGAACAGGGGCTCGGAGCTGTGCTGTACCAGCAGCAAGAGGGCAGACTCAGAGTTATTGGCTATGGCTCCAGAACTTTGACGCCTGCAGAGAGAGGTTACAGACTCCACTCCGGAAAGCTTGAGTTCCTGGCACTCAAATGGGCAATTTGTGAGAAGTTCCGCGATTATTTGTTCTATGCACCACACTTTACGGTCTTCACAGACAACAACCCGTTGACGTATGTCCTCAGAACGGCCAAGCTCAACGCTGTTGGACATAGGTGGGTGGGAGAATTGGCGGACTTCAGATTTGACATTCGCTACAGACCAGGCAAAATGAATGCGGACGCAGACATGCTCTCTCGTTGTCCCCTCGATATCAATGAGTTTATGACCACCTGTACCGAAGTTGAAAGCTGCTCAGAGGGAAGATCCTGTCGTTGGTAAGGTGATAGAGTTAAAGGAGAGTAGTGGAGAACTGACATCTGAAATGACGAAAACTGCTAAAGGAAGCCTGAAGAGACTGTTGTATGAGTGGAGAAAACTTGATCTTGAAGAGGACCTGCTCTATCGTAAGACCAATCACAGATCTCAACTTGTTCTTCCTGCTAAGTTTAAGCAGTTGGCCCTGAACCAGTTGCACAACGAGATGGGTCATGTAGGGACAGAACGAGTTCTAGACTTGGCAAGGAGTAGATTCTACTGGCCTTTTATGAAAAAGGAGATTGAGCACTATGTCACCCAGCAGTGCCGATGTGTGAAGCAGAAGAAACCCGTGGTGAAGATCAGAGCTCCCATGGGAAGTCTTACCTCGAGTTGTCCACTGGATTTGGTGTCCATCGATTATCTGCACCTGGAGCGGAGTCGGGGCGGATATGAATATATTCTGGTGGTGGTGGACCATTTCACCAGATTTGCCCAGGCGTATCCGACAAGAGACAAGTCTGGAAGGACGGCAGCTGAGAGGATATTTAATGACTATATCCCAAGATTTGGCTATCCTTGTCGGCTCCATCACGACCAAGGCCGTGAATTCGAGAACCATCTCTTTGCGACTTTGCAACGGTTAACGGGTGTCAGTAACTCCAGAACGACACCTTATCACCCCCAAGCAAACCCAGCGGAACGGTTCAATCGCACTTTGTTACAAATGTTGAGGACGCTGGAAGAGAAAGAAAAGGATAGATGGAAAGACCACCTCCCGAAGGTAGTGCACGCCTATAATTGCACTAAGCATGAAGCGACGGGGTTCTCTCCATTCTTTCTTCTGTATGGACGTCACCCTCGCTTGCCTGTTGACTTGTTGTTTGGTCTAAGATCGGAGGATGACCAATACTCGCCTCGAGATTATGCAGAAAAGTGGGCACAACGGATGGCTGATGCATATAAAGTAGCCTCAGACAACAGCAAACAAGCGAGCGCACGGAACAAGAAATACTATGATCAGCACCTGCGGGGTGTTGTGCTGCAACCAGGAGATCGAGTTCTGGTTCGTAACCTAAGTGAACGGGGCGGGCCTGGAAAGTTAAGATCCTACTGGGAGAAAACAGTGCACGTGGTCAAAGAAAGAATAGGAGAAGGACCGGTCTATCAAGTGTGCCCGGAGTCCAGTGAAGGCCAAAATCCAGCCATGATACGTACCTTGCATCGGAACCTGCTTCACCTGGTTAATGACCTACCAGTAGACCCGCCACCTCCAGGAGCAGATGAGTCATGTAGACCTAAGGGAAGGAAACCAAGGTTGTCAAAATCAGCAAGAGAGCCTGAAGAAGCAAATTCGAGTGATTCATGTTCGGATGACAGTGATGCACCGAGAGCTTACTACTGGTTACGCTCCTCTGAACAGCAGAGATCTAAGCAGGGAAGGACTGTCCCTGACACTCACGAAAGAAGAGTTTGGAGACGGAGAAATAGTGAGGATGGACCTGTGAGGCATGGAGAGATTACTCCAGGAGTAGAGGAAGAATACTTACCTGAGACAGTGGAAACTCACTCATTGACTGACTTACCTGCTGCATCAGAATTTGAGAGGATGAATCCTGAGCTGAGAGAGATAGTACCTGTGGAGAAAGAGAGACAGAGGGTTAGTCCAATGGGAAAAGTTGCAGGAGACGAATATGTGAGGAGATCAAGCAGAGAGAGAAAACCCACACGGGTCTTTACTTACCCCTCATTGGGTCAGCCCAATTATGAACTGCCTACGGAGATAGGGGCTGCTCAGTTTATGCAGACACCGCAGTTACCGTATTACTCTGGGGTACAGGGGCCAGTATGTGCGACTTGTGCTCATGTTCCACCTACATTTCCTTATCAGATAGGGTCCTATCCTACCTTATTACCCTATGCTGCCTTTAGTGGATACTAGGGAATTAGTGCCTACAAGAAAACAGGGTTAAGATCCCCACACTGAACACATATATTACACAATCTTGAAATTGGTTACAATATTGGAAGGTTTGTGTTAATTAGTTAACTGTTTATAAGAGTTAGAGGGTCAGTGTTGTTTGGAGCCATTTCTTTTGTCGGGGAGAGTGTGACACCCTGTATTGTCACAGGAATAATTACATTTTTCTGTATGTATTTTATTTTATTTTATTGTGTTTATGGTATTGTTTCAATTACTGTTAGTATGTTGAATTGGTGAGGAGTGATACTCACGGTGGACAGTAGGTGGAGACAGTGTGCTGATCGGGGACTATGTGAGTAACTGAGTCGCGGAGAAGAAGCCGCCATTACAGAGCGACTCAGACTGCATTCAACAGCACATCTTTGTCTGTCTCCTTGTTTTATTAAACAGGTGGGTGAAATCAGTCACCATAGACATAAAAACATGATGCAATATGTTGAGACCGTGTATTCATTGTTTTGAGAGGGTTATATATTTCCTGAGTAAAGTTGAGATGTTAAATAGAGACCGGGTTGTGTTTATGAAAATTAAGTTTCACTCGCGGCCGTCCCGCGTGAGGCCTGGTATTATTAATGTTGTATAATCGAAATGGTTAAAGGCTCCAGCACACTGAAAACCCAAAATAGTATATGTATATGTAGATACATACATTTGTAATATAAATTTTTGAATGTTATCTATCTTTGCATACTATATTATAGTGGTTATTGACTGTTGATATTTGAATGTTTAATGATCTTTCAATGAAGTATATCTGCTGCACTGTAATTCAGTTTAAATGGTTCGCTCAACTATTTAATGAGACAGTATTTAGTATGATACTTTTGCTCAGACAACAGAGACTGTAAAACATGGAGATGTATGTTTTAAGGAAAAGGGTATTGAGTTATTAGAGAAAAGTACTATCTGAGTATGAAAAGTAAGACACTATAAGAGTGATGCAACCTGTTTTATTGGGTTATTGTTTGAGTGAGTCACATGTAAGGTGACAAGACATTGTGACATATATATTGGTTTAAAATATGGATATAATCTTTGAATTATTGTAATAAAGCCATTACAGAGCGACTCAGACTGCATTCAACAGCACATCTTTGTCTGTCTCCTTGTTTTATTAAACAGCAATAATTAACTGCAGCAACGCCAGTCGGACGGCGGGCGTGTTACACATACGTCAATATCCGCCTTTTTAGGGCCCCCTTAAACGTCGGTAGATGGCGATCCCGGGCCGTCATACAACTGACGCTTTACCTTTAACGTCAGTTAGGTGACGGGTTAGGTTTAGGTCTGGGGTAGAGTTAGGATCCCATAACCTCATCTACCGACGTTTAAAGGGGCCCTAAAAAGGCGAATATTGACGTATGGTCAAAAGACATCCCAAAACGTCAGTTACATGACGTCTTGGGATGAGACCGGGTTGGTTCGAACAGGAGAGTCACGAACGTGCATCACAGAACAGAGCAAGGTGACCATTTGAGCTTATAAAACGTAAACTTTTTTTTTTACATTTTTTTTTTTTTAAATGAGCGATTGTTTCACTTGATAAGACCCTTATTCATCGTCTGGAATCGTTTAAGTCCTTTGAACAGTTTGCAGTTTGCACTGAAATTGTCTTTTGGACCTTGAACCGTTTGGTTACCACTGAAGCGAATGTTTTCATCAAAAACCTTAATTCCTTTTCGACTGAAGAAAGAATGACATGGATATCTTAGATGACATTTGGGGGTTATTAAATTATCAGCAAAAGTTTTTTGAAAAGTGAACTACTTTAAGTGAACTGACCCTATAATGAAAACAAATGTAATGTGAGATGTAGAGGAGGGAATGTGTGAACGCTTAGATTTCTGAATCTCCTCCCTCACATCAGCACAAGGGAATGTTCCTCCCTTTCGCACAAGGACTGGCGCGTTTGTGTGTGTGTGTGAAGGAGGGATGGTGAAACTGGCATGCCTCAGGGATCCTTTTCCGCTCGCGCCCTCTCTCTTCTCCAGATGTGAATCTCCCGTTCTCGTTGGCTCATCCAGCGCTCTGACAAAACTTCCAGCTGTACGGCATCCAGAATAGGCCACAGCTGTTTCCAATCTGTGTGCTTTTCCAATGGAGAGAGGAAACTGAAGAATAATATAGGACTTTACTCTTGCCACTAAACAATTTATAAGACCGTCTTAGACACTCATTTATTGGTCAAAACCAGAAACATTTAAATGCATTTCTCAAGTTAGATGCTTAAGTCATGACTGAGTTTAAAACACATTTTAATAATATCCTGCCTTTTTTTCAATCACAAGCACTTCATACGATACAAATGTTAAAGGTCAGTTAGATTTTTTTTTTTTTTTTTTTAAGAAATCCACTTTTATTCAGCAAAGGACCATTATATTGATCAAAAGTGACAGTAAAGACCATCACACAAGTTTCCACAGAAATATCAATAAGCTGCACAACTGTTGTCAACATTGATAATAATAAGAAATGTTTCTTGCTTGGGCATCAAATTAGAATGATTTCTGAAGGATCACGTGGCACTGAAGACTGGAGTAATGATGCTGAAAATTCAGCTTTGCATCAGAGGAATAAATTACATTTGAAAATAGAAAAGCTAAGTTAAATTGTAATATTATTTCACAATATTACAGCATTCTTTAACAACAAAAAATATCTTTGCGAGCATAAGATGTGTGTCCAGCAATCTTTGAATGTGAGGGTGTCAGAACAGGAATAACAAATGTCAGCTGAGAGCATTTTTCCAGAAGAGATCTAGACCATTAATGTATGACACATGTTTACAGGACGCAAAGGGAGAGAAAAGACAGAGGCCTGGGGAGTGGCAGGACCTTCTCAAACTGCTCCATTTATATCCACATTGTCTCCGAATATGAAATGAGTGGTGCAGGCAAGGCAGCAAAAAGTCCTTTTTCTAGCTTAAGAAATGGCTGTAAATGGTGAGTTGAAGTTTATTTGCAATTTGTACCAGCACAGCTAGTACAAGTATGACTTTTTGTAGCAAAGCTCATTGAGTCAACATTAAAAAGTCAACATAAAAGAAGAACTCACAAAATGCACAATAGACTTTGAGAAGGTACAGTAAACAAAGAACATAAACCTACAACAAACAAAGATGATTACTAATCCATATAGGAGTATTGCAAAGTCATGAGGTGAACTAGGTTACCATGCAGTGTGAGAAATTAACTTTTATTATTTAATTATGATTATTATTATAATTGACAGCAATATTTGGAGACTGTAATTTATTTCGGTGGTATTTTTACACACCTTCTAACACTTGCCCCTACAGTCAGTAAATAAAAGCGAACACAACAGCCTACTAACATTTAAAGGTTTGGCATCTGTAAGACCTTTATTTTGCACACCAGGGCTGTGTTTATTCAATCAAAAAATACACTAAAACATTGAAGATATTATTACTATATTATTTTTTTTTACAATAACTCTTTTCTATTTTAATATACTTTAAACTGTAATGTATTCCTGTGACGGTAAAGCTGAATTTTCAGCATTGTTACCCCAGTCTTCAGTGTTGCATGATAATTCAAAAATCCTTCTAATATGTTGATTTGATCAATACATAAGCTCAATAAGCATGCAAGCACATTTCTGCTCAAGAAACCGTTCTTATTATTAAAACAGTTGTTCTGCCCAATATTTTTGAGGAACAGTGAAACGTATTTTAATTCAAGAATCTTTAAAGAATAGAAAGTTCAAAAGAACAACATTTATTTGAAATACAAATATTCTGTAACATTATAAATGGTTCTACTGTCACTTTTGAATGATTTAATTCATCCTGTCAGTGGTGGTTCAGGGTTGTTCCCCAACTTTCAGTCACTACAGAGTTATGTCGAGTGACAAATCGGGTCCTTATAGAAAACGGTATAACCACTTGTGTTACGAGTTGCTGGCAAGCTGTAGCGTGCTCTTTTGGCAACTGTTCCTGTTGAGTTGTAACCTACCCAGCACCCCATCTAAGACCAGAATGATAGTACTCCATGCCAATGGGATGGAGGGGACAGGGCATACCATGGAGACGGTCGTAGCTGCTGTTCCTTTACATTTTATTTCACGTTCCCTTTTTTTCAGCCATGTCCAGTGTATTAATGCTGGGGAAGAGTACCTAGTCCAATGAGAGGGACGCTATGATGGCCACATCCTACCCGTAGGGAGGAACATGTGTAAATACGCTTATGGACTGCTCCACAGGACAGTGCTAGATATGAAAAGGCTTTTGCAGTAGGTCCTGTCTAGACATAGATGGAACTAGTACAGGCGCAGAGAAGGGACAGAACAAAATCTGTGAAAGAATACAAAATTTACTGTGAAAGAATACACATATGGGATTACCAAGGGGAAATCACAAAACATGGGTTATCTAGCCCAGTACAGGGGCTGACTGAGCGGGCATGCACTCAAGTACTCGAGCATCAGACACTTCCGCAGTGCAGTCCAGGGTTCGCCAAATGGGGAATTCATCTGGAGAGCCAAGAAGAAGCTCGTGGGGGCACGGATTGCCTTGGGGTTACACCAAGGCGATGGCATCCACTATCCGGTGGGCCAACCTGAGGAGAGGCCGAACACAAGGCACTATTCGTTTACCGAAAATGCCTGCAGGTCCCCTACCTTCTTGGTGGAAGTCAGTGCAGTCAGGAGTGCTGACAGAATATCTGAGACAGATAAGCTGAATTGACTCAAGAGGTTCAAAGTGAGCTCTCTGAAGACCAGAGAGATCCCAGCAGGGGATGAGACGCAATATAGGAGTATTTAACCTCATGGAACCTCTCGGGAACCTAACAACCAGTCAACTGCAGCGTTGTGCGCCGCAATGGCGACAACATACACCTTCAAGGTGAAGGGGGGCAGCCTCCGCTCCACCCATTCTTGCAGGAAGGAAAACACAGAACCGATTGGGCTTTTCCGGGGGTCTTCTTGATGGGAAGAGCACCACTCAGTGAACAGACTCCATTTCGAAGCATAAGCTCGTCTGGTAGCAGGTGCCATATGCAGCCGCGTCTGAGAAAGAAGGTCCTCCCTCAGGTGAATACGACAGGGAGGGGCTGTCACAAGGTCTGTGTGGGGCAATCATCAAAGTCATGTGCAATCATCAAGACCTGGTCCTTGTCCTTCTTGACCGTCGCAGTGTTGTCCACAGGGATCAACTTGTGCTTGCCCTGAAGCAATAATCGACACCTCAGTCGAGGTCCCGTGCTCCTGCGTGCTCCTACCATACAGTGCCTTAACCCGTTCTGGAGGGATTTGTTGTCACAACAACGTGCATGGACACTTGCTGTGTAGCCAGTGAGGTAGCAGTGAGGTGAATGCTCTCGGCAAAGAACAGATCAGCAGGCAGCCAGCGGTGGCCTAGTTGATGGTTAGTTGATGCATTAACTAATGTTAAGTAATAGGAAGTTGTAAAGTGTAACCTTTTTAGTTTTTTAATTTCTGTCTCACACTTAGAAAAAAAAAAAAAACAGAGAATCTGTGAGCAGAGAGGAACTGGTTTGTTATTTCTAGAAAATCCTGAGAAACACTGCTCTTCATCCTGCCGTCTGTACCGGACATGTCAGGCCAGCATGACACCAGCAGTCGCCCTGTGGGTGGCCGGGTGGACTAAGACAAAATATTCACAGCATACAGACAGATTCTTTCTAATTAATGTACATTTTGCTTGTAATGTAATCTATTATCCAGATTTCTTTAGACCTGGGTAACACATCTTGACTTGCCCCAGAATAATGGATATCTGAAACATTAAAACAGACCTCAAATATACGCAACATAAATATAAAAAGCGGATACTAAATCAGTTATCAGAAAGACAGTTATGCCCCGAAACATTACAATCAGGCTCGCCCACATTACTACACATTCTTATCCTCCCCACTTCACCCACACAGGTGATGTCTGCAGGGCATAAAAATGTGTTTATAAACTGTATATGTGTGAGAGATGAATTGGTGTGGCTGATCCATGCACAATGATTGACAGTAGCTGTTGTTTTATTAGCTAAATACCCGTTTAATTCAGTTTCTCTCTCTTCTAATTGTGTATTTGACAGTAATGTGGGAATCTAGTTGGATGACACTATTGCCTAATTCATGTGTTGTTGTTTTTTCTTCCTCTTTGATGGCCCTTTCATTTCCATT